CGAGGGAATGGCCTCAAGCTGCCCAGGGCAGGGTCAGGCTGGCTCTGAGGAAGGATTTCTGTGCAGAAGGGGCTGTTGGGCGTTGGAATGGGCTGCCCAGGGCAGGGGGGAGTCCCCGGGATCCCTGGAGGGGTTGAAGAGTCGGGCTGAGCCAGCACTGAGGGATCTGGGGGAGTTGGGAACGGTCAGGGTGAGGTTCATGGTTGGACTGGAGGAGCTTCAAGGGCTTTTCCAACCCAGATGATTCTGTGATTCCTCAGTAATAAATACTGGGTCTCTGTGAGGCAAGGGGTCAGGGAAAGCAGCTGGGAACACAGGGGTCATGCAGTGATCCCAGCCCATGGTTACAGCTGTGGGATTCCCAAGCAGAACTGAGTGGCACAAGCATTTTATGCCAACACAGAGTTTGTGCTGGGTGTCTATGATGTATTTGGTCATCTACAGTGGCCTTAACCACCTTGCCTATCTCTGCCTTGGAGGTATGACAGTGAAAACATGAGCCAGGTCTTGCATACCATCTGTGCTGTGCTAGGCTGCCCCATGGCCCGTGGGCTTAAAAGTTTCCCAGCAGTGACACAGAGCTGGTTCACACATCCCTGGTATTTTCACACATCTCTGATAATCCTGCAAGTGGCTGTGGTACAGGATTCTGACTGTTCCCAGCCCTATGGTGTTAATTTTCCACTGATGGAATAGAGGTGACGGAGGAAATGACCTAAAAGCTGACTATTCGAGTCTGGATTGATGGGGCACAGAGAGAAGCTGCTGGGCAGGTCGGAGTAACAAGGAGGTGAGAGGACATGAGTAGGGAAGGGATAAGCATGCATTTTTATGTCAAGGGTGAGAAAAGGAGGAGGAGGAGAGGGGTTGAAGGTGGTGGGACAGAGTGAGGGGTCATGCTGGGGCAGACCGGGCTGGCTTTGGGAGAGGTGCAAGGAGAAGAGCAGCAGTCACACAGGGATGTGGAGAGGGCAGAAGGTGGATGCTAGAAAAACTGCAAGAGCCAGAGGAGACATGAAGAGAGGCCAGGGCTGGGTAGAGGCTGGAGTTGCGTTTTGAACTGCCGATTCATTATACTCCAGATATAATGCTGTGAAGTCTTTGAGTCATTGGAGGCTGCTCCTCTCACCTCCTTGACAGTCCAGTTTGACCTGGGCTGGTTCCCACGTGCCAGAATTGAGTTCATTCATTTTTCCACCCCGCTGTAGCCAAGTTTGTAATTTAAGAAATGTTGCCCCTCCAGCCCTGATCTCTGTCCCCTCTGTAAGCCAGAGGAACAGATGGGAGGGCAAAGGACCAGGAATGTCTGGCACTTCCCAAAGCTGGAAAGGAGAGAACTGGAGATTTTCAGTTGAAATGAAAAAAGTTCATGCCTTTCTCAGCCCTGTCTTTGTTCCTTTGTGCCTTTCAGGCCTGATCGAAACACCTCACCTACATGAGAGGGGGCCTGCAAAGGTTGAACACGCTTGGATGTCGCTAACTCCTTGCTCCTGGAGCAAGGCAGAGGGACTTTGCCTGCTTGTTTTTGAGCATTTGAGTTTAGGTTCATCACAAAGCAGCAATACTGAGCTGACAGCATCTGACAGGGTGTTGGAGGGAATGACAGATCATGGACACAGGGGCGTTTGTTAACAAAAACAGCTGCAGCTCATGATGCAAAGCAAACAGCTTCTACATGGCTTCAATTCCAGCTTTGTCTCTTTGTTGACCAGGGACCAGCCAAGCTCCAGCCCACTCAGCAGCATAGACCAAGACCTGAAGATCAGGCTGCGAAGGAATCTGGTATTAAACAGGGAAATGAAGTGGGAAGAAGAAGGTGTTTTCTCCTCCTGTAGTGATTGTCCACATGAAGCAATCCTGAGCAAGAAGAGTCAAAGAGCTTTGGCAGGGCAGCCTGGAGAGGGCCTGGTGAAGCCTGGCAGCAGGCTTGCACGCTCGGTCTTTGCTCCCTTATCTGAAGTGTCATCCAAATTTCTTTGGCTCCTCTCCTCACCAGCTCCACGTGGAGCCCTGGTGTGGAAGGCAGACTGCAGGGACTGCCCTGCAGCCTGGTGTGAGTCATGGGTCACGGTTATGGTCATGGGTTTTACTCCTGTGTGCCACTGATATCAGAGCATGAGGCTGAACCAAGCAAGGCACGACAAGCCCGAGGAGTTTGCACAAACCCCTCTCCCATTTGGTGCAGCTGGAACCTCAAATGCTGAAGAGATGGGTCAGGCACTGGGAGAGGGCTGCTGAACCTCCTCACATCATTTGGCACTGTCTGAAGTGAGGAATATAGGCCTCCACCTCTTTCAGTGGCACTTACAAGGCTAGTGGCATCCTCAAAGCTTTTTAACAAGAATTCATACAGTTTGAGTAGGGGTTTTTTATATGATACAGTTACTGTTTTCTGCCTGTACATGTAATTTCTGTTTGACTCAAGAAAAAAAAAAAAAAAAAAAAGAGGGAAGAAAACCAGCCCTAAACTGCAAGCCTTGAGCATCTGTACACTTGCAGATACCTCTCAGAGGGAAGAGAACGGCCTTTGCTGTCATCTTTACAGTTGTCTGAATCACCTGCTGTTCTAGTGACTAATTCATAACATCCTCGAGATGTTTGTGCCACATCTGGAAGTTACAGTCATGCTGCATCTACCTAAAGAGAAGACACTCATATATATGTCTGTGTATGTATATATAAAATATAAATATGTTTTTGATTTTTTTTTCTCAGTTGTGACTCTCCTGTGCCTCTAGCTGATAGCAGCCATGTCAACCCAAAAGGACAGATGGGTTTCTTCCTTCTCTTTCCTGCTCTTCTGTGCTTCCTCCATCCCAACATGGGGAAGTGCAAGGCTGCTGCAGGAGCTGAGCCCCCAGGAGTACTTCAGTAGCTTGCAAGCCGGCAGAGCATCCCTGGCTTATTTCAGCCATAATGGTATTTATTTAACAGTATGCATGTACCTCAGCTTAGGTTTTCAGCAAAAAGAATTGTGTGAGGGTATATGGGAAAGTGGAACAATTAAGAGGCAGTTCTTGAGATTTTTAAGCCCAAAGTGATTGGGAAGAGCTGGGCGAGCTCAGCTGGCAAATCTTTGTTTGCACAACTTCAAGTGTTCCTGACAGGCTGAGACCTCTTGGGTGGGATCTTTCCTGGCTGCGTCCCCAGGCACGTTCCTTCAAACCTCTTCATTAATTTTCTGGATTATTTTCTGGAGCTACCATGGAAAAGAAATCCAGCCTCCTAAGGAGTTGTCCCCTCAGAGGGGCTGGGTTTCTCTTTCACGGCACCTCCCAGGGAAAGGGGGATCTCTTGCATGCAGGGGACCTAAGGGCTGTCAAGAATTAGGAGGAGATCCTTGGCCTTGCCTTTATTGTTTTGCTCCTTCACGACCCTCAGGTGTGATTTCCCAGAGACAGCAGTGTGGGCTGAGACACCAACACAGCTCTCACATCAGCACTGAGGCTGCTATGTTAGAAAGGAAGGAGGGGAGACTTCAGGCATTCGTGTTGTTGCCTGTAATTAGTTTGGTTTCAGTAAATACCTTACTCCTTGTGTAGGAGCAAGACCATATTGTGTCAAGCACTACCTCAGCATGTGGCAAGAGGATGCTCTGCACTCTGAGGACTTGCAGCCCAGCACAGCAGCACCAGTCTGACAAAACCAGTCCCAGTTCCTCTGTGTCCCCCAGCCCCATCCCCGCAGGCACCTCTGCTGCAGGCAGGATGCCAGGGCTCCCTGTTTGCCCTGCTCACAGCTGCTCAGGTGGCCCGAGGATGTTTGCCTGGGGATCTTACCCTGCTGTTACTGTGCACAGACAGTGCTTGCCCTGAGGGTGCTCTCATCTGTAAGGGAAAGGAATGGAAACCAGGGGTTTTTTTGTGTTTCAGTTTCTCCTGGTGCCCAGCCCTTCTTGGAGCAGATTGAGAACTCGGCCGAGGCCCTCCAGGACTATGGCATTTCCGTGGTGAAGGTAAATGGGGACAAGGGGTGGGACAGGCTCTTTCTGCAGATTATTTCTGCAGGATTTCCTTCAGGGTGGGCAGAGCCACCTTGAGGACTGGCAGCAGTGGGACCCCACAAAAAAGCAGATGTTGGCAGACCAGGGAATCCCCTTTTATCCTTTGTGCTGGCCTTACATCTGCTGCTTGTGGGTTGCCTCACACCTTCTGCCTGTGGGACATGGGTGGGTTCCTGTGTCCCAGAGATGCTTGATGTTGTGTCTGTGTCTCCAAGCACAGCAAAGCAGAGGACTGGGTTTTTAGCTGTAATTTTATTTGGGTTTAAGTGAAGAAATTACAGATTCAGCCAAGTGTAATTAGATTATAAGAACTGCTTCTATGTGTGTGTGTATATGTATTTAATTTCCTTCAGATACAGGCTGAGTTTATTAAGCAAGCAGCGATCTGTCACTTTGAATATGCTGGGCAGATCATGGTATCTCTTGATCCCATCTGACCCAAATCAAGGCAGCCTGAGCTGGAGAACTGAAGTACAGACTCCAATCCCCATCTCTGGACTCCATTTTATTCTGTTTTCTCTCCCAGCAAGTTTGGAATGGCTGTATTTACACTCTTGAATGGAAGAAAGCCTTAATGCTGTATATTTGTAGTCATTTTTGGAGCTGAATGTCTAATTACATGCTTTCAATGTCTAGGTTATTTGTCCCAAAGAGGATGTCTCAAGATACTGTGGAAAAGAAAATGCATTAAGGAAAGCCTACCTGTTCAGGTGAGAGGGGATTTCTCGGCACCACACTGTGTTTGCTTTCCGCTGAAAATGTTTGAAGGAAATGCTGCCAATGACCATAGATAACTGTGTAGGAAGAGAGGAGCTGTGAGGACAGCGGTGACATACAGAGTGTAGCAAAACGTACCTCCAAAAGGTCCAACGCAGGCAAAGCAGATACTTTGTCCTCATTATGAAACCTCCCATCCTGCCCCATGTTCCTTGGAGCAGCAGAGCGCTGTGCTGCTACGTGACACCACGAGATAAATCCTCCATCAGTGTTCTTCTGTCCTCGTGGCCTTCCACCACCAGGTCCTCCACAGTTACCACCAGGTTTTGGGTGTAGTCCTAGAAAGAAACCCCCTTAGGTGCTCTTCCTGTTGGCGTGGTTAGCTCATCTGCCCTGGATGCAAAGGTTCAGCTCTTGGTCTCTCCACGGGTTGTCTGTCAGCTGGAAGCTGCTCCATGAATCGGCTCGGTTCTCACTGACTGTTGTACATGACCCACAGAAACATTTGCTCTGATGGTGAGGGTCTACAGGGTGATTCTTGGTACGTAGAGACCTTCTGCCAGTCTGTGCTAGGCTTATCAACAGCCCCCAGAAGCTGAGTGAAAAGGCAGTGACAGGGCTGACTTTACTAAAACAACATTGCCTGGACACCTAGTCCTACAAAATCCCCAAATTGAATCCTGACATTTCCGCCATACCTGCCAGCAGATATACGGATGTATTCAGCAGAGTGAAAATTAAATTAGAATGTGTAGCTAATCTTTCATAGTTTGTCTGGTGATGCTTTCTTCCTTTCCTAGAGGTAACATGCTGATCAGAGAGTTCCCCACCGATGCCTTGTTTGATGTGAACTCCATTGTTGCTAACGTTTTGTTGTAAGTACAGAGCAGATGCATCTCTCTGAAACCTTTTACTTTCCATTTTCACTTGTTGATATAAAATTTTGCATAAATACAAACCCTATGCATTCCAGAGGCTGCTCTCAGCCAAGCAGAAGGCTGCTTCTCTCTTTGGTATGGTTTGACCCTGTTAAATCTGTGCCCTTGAGATGTCTCAGCGACACACATCTGGGCAGCTGTATTTGACTGTGAATCTTCGATCTGCCAGCAGGAAGCTGGAATTTTACCTTATTTTTCCCATCGTGGTTATGTGGCTGCAAATATGCTCTTAAAAGAAAACAGTTGGTAATGAGTTTCTTCTGACTTCTCAGCGCCCTGCTCTTTAATGAAGTTAAATACGTCGAAACACTGGCAGATCTTCAGAACATTGAAAATACATTGAAAGGGAGGTTGAACATGGTCTTTGCCTATGTACCAGCTACTGGGACAGCAGGTATTAACACTCAGCTTTTCATCTTTGCTCTCCTCCCAGAGGCTTTTTTACTAAGGTGCAAGGGAGCTGGGTTTCTGAGACAAAATCCTGTAAATGAAGGATCAAGGAAACCCAGACACAGATTATCCACCTCTGTATGTCTTGCTGTGTTTCCAAAGGGATCAGTTGCACTACAACAGTTTTGTTGGGAGCATCAACTTTCAGAGATAGATTTGAGAGGCAAAGCAAGCCAGCGGTTGCTGTCTTAAAAAATAAATAAACCCATGGGCAGATCTCTAGTTAGGCAGTAGAATGGATTCACATACACCACCAGTGTGTTTACTGGGGATCGGTAACAGGGTCCAGCTCCAGTTAGTGAGTTACCTTCATAGCGTGTCTTCAGACAGCTGTGACTTTTTACTGAGAGTTTCTGAAAGGCTGTGCATTGATATTTGCCCTTGGAAAGAATGTAGAAGGAGATCTGGAGAGAGCTGAGATGAGCTTGTCTTGCCTTTCTCTTTCCAGAGCACAGAGCCGTGATGGAGGCAGCTTTTGTCTATGGGACTGTCCACCAGTTTGTTCTGACAACCGAGGCAGCGCTGTTGAAAGACACTGGGTATGTCCAAACACACACCCACCAGGTAGAGCTGCTCCCCTGCTGCAGGTTTCTCAGATTTCCAAGTCAAATCTAGGATGGTATTAGGGTGCTATGGACAGTCAGATCTGCTTTGCTTTTCCAAAACCAGCTGCTGCTTGTGTTCCTGGCCTTGGACTAGCCACGCCATTTGTGACTTTGATGAATGAGATTTTATAGGGGAAGAGCCCCCTGTCTCCTTTCCGTAGCTGACTGATCAAACCTCGGCCATGGGTTTTCAGGAGGGCTGATACAGCTGATGTTATAGTCTTAAAACACTCGGCCTTGTGCTTTGATGATCAAGTCTGGCCAGCTGAGAAGGGTAAGAACTGCTACAGTGGGTAGGAGCAGAGCCCAGCCAGCGCCATATCTCACCTCTGCAGTGGCCAAAGGTGCATCCTGAGGGATATGAGGAAATAGCTGTGTGTTGCCTGCAACCTTCCATCTTCTGGCAGGCAGAGGTTTCAGGACTCTCCAAGATTACTGGCGTTGTTTAGTCTGGAGAAGAGGAGGCTGAGGGGAGACCTCCTGGCCCTCTGCAACTCCCTGCCAGGAGGGGGCAGAGAGGGGGGATGAGTCTCTGGAGCCAAGGCCCCAGCGCCAGGCCCCGAGGGAATGGCCTCAAGCTGCCCAGGGCAGGGTCAGGCTGGCTCTGAGGAAGGATTTCTGTGCAGAAGGGGCTGTTGGGCGTTGGAATGGGCTGCCCAGGGCAGGGGGGGAGTCCCCGGGATCCCTGGAGGGGTTGAAGAGTCGGGCTGAGCCAGCGCTGAGGGATCTGGTGGAGTTGGGAACAGTCAGGGTGAGGTTCATGGTTGGACTGGAGGAGCTTCAAGGGCTTTTCCAACCAAGATGATTCTGGGATTCTGTGAGATGGGAGCTGAACCTGTATCATGGTGCTAACAGCCACCAGAATTTGTTAAGCACTTTACGTTTCACCTCAACAACTTGTGGCAGCGGTGAGTTCTGCAGGTCAGCTGCATGAGACACTGCTCATGCATTTGGGATTTCCCTTCCAGCTCTGGCCATCTCCTTCCCACACCGGAGGAGCTGCATTAGAAAGGCAGATCCCTCAACGCGACTTGCTACTGGTGTAACCTACTGCAGCCAGGAAACTGAGAGGGAGGAGGGTGGGAATTTCACATAGGATGTTGCATCTTCAGCAGAACATTTACATAACCATGTGCCTGCTTTCACAGGTGACACCAGGGCAGGCACCAAAGTGGTGCTTCCCCGAGGTGCCATCCAATCCTTGTAGGATCGTGATCAGGGACAGCATTTTGTGGCTGCCACTAGATGGCACGGTTGTAATTTGGACAGGAATTGGCTTTATTCTGCGTAAAGCAGAGAGGACACCAGCAGGCCATCTCCTTGGCTGATGTAATGGTGGTGGCTTCACCAACATGACTAGCTTTCATCCAAACAGGGCATCAGGCTTTGTCTTTCTACTACTCTCTACTCTTCCATAGAGAGATCTTAGAACCCTTTGCAAAAAAGGTGATCCCTGGTTTAGAGGTGGAAAATGGGTGCATAGGAAAAGGAATGTATCTTCCCAAAGTTAACCCCCAGCCTGACACCAGTGATGGTATCAGAGTGGGAGCGACTAATGAGGGAACCACCAGGGGAAGTTGATCTCGCTGCTTCCTTTGGCACAGCTAAAACCAACGCTGTTCAAAAGGTGAAATATTCCTTATACAGTCTGCAGGGTGTCATCAGTGAGGTGAAAGACATAAGCAAAATTGTAGACTTTAACAGTGGCATGGCTGGTTCCACTGAGAAAAGCTTAATGAGTGTCCTTCTTGAGCTGGACCAACTGTTCTGGGGTTGGGGTCAGTTACACCTCATGAGCCAGGGTCTTCATTAGATGTTCAGCACAGTTTTGAAAGGCATCTGGACACAATTGTACCTGTCAGTAGTAGGGTGCTTGAATAGGCCCCACAAACCTCCCAAACCCTGCACTTGAGGATCATCTGCCCTGTAAAACATGTCAGCAAACATGGTCATTCTGTCGGGTCATTTTAAAACCCTGTGGTGGATGTCCTAGCTCAGCATGGGTTTTGTTGTCTCTCTCACAGTGATGATGAGCCTGACATGTCGTCTGCCCGACTGTTGTTCTGCCACTGCCAGCGGGCCACAGACCTGGCACAGCCCTGCAGGAGGACAGCCATGGGGCAAGCTCTGACCATGCTCAACATCCACAGGCACCTCAAGCTCATGGGGGCTCCTCTGGTGGTATGACGGGGAAAGAGGAACCGCTTGGGCTGTGGGCATGAGGGCAGCTGGGGTGGATGTGAGGAGGAGGGAGGTGTGAGCAGAGGGCAAGGCTGAGCACGGGAATCTGCCCCTTCCCCATGGAGTTAATGACAAAGCTCCCAGGTTGGGTCCAGGCAAGGAACAGGCATCAGGCTGGATGGCAGTGACACTCCACTGCACTGCTCAGCTTGCTTGGACCTTGCCAGGGAGCCCTGGCACCCATGTATGCCCCTCTAGTTGTCTGTAAGTGCTGTGAGTGGGAATGGGGTAGAAGTGCCCCTTGGACTTCACTGGAACGTATGGTATAGAATATAGAGTATAGAATAGAATATAGAATAGAATATAGGATAGGGTAGAATATAGAATGGAATGGAATAGGAATGGAATAGGAATGAGAATAGAATAGAATAGAATAGAATAGAATAGAATAGAATAGAATAGAATAGAATAGAATAGAATAGAATAGAATAGAATAGAATAGAATAGAATAGAATAATAGACTATTTCAGTTGGAGGAGACCCACAGTGATCATCTAGTCCAGCTGCCTCACCACGTCAGGACTGACTAAAAATTAAAGCGAAATATTAAGGACATTGTCTAAATTCTTAAACACTGTCTGGCTTGGGGCATCGACCACCTCTCTAGGAAGCCTATTCCAGTGTTTGACCACCCTCTTGGCAGAGAAATACTTCCTAATGTCCAGTCTAAACCTCCCCTGATGCAGCTTTGAACCACACCCATGCGTCCTATTGCTGGAGACAGGGAGAAGAGCTCAGCACCTCCCTCTCCACATCCTCTCCTCAGGAAGCAGTGGAGAGCCATGAGATCGTCTCTCAGCCTCCTTTTCTCCAACCTAGACAAACCCAAAGTCCTTAGCTGCTCCTCTAGGCTCCCCACAGGAGACTGAGCACCCTGGGGAGTTTGACATCAGTCAGTCATGCCTCAGTGAGCACAAGGGACAGGAGGCTCCCGTTCTTCCTCTTCCCACGGGGCAATGAACTTCCCCCTGGTGACATCTCTGCCCAGCCAAAAGGACAGGTGGATGATCTGGGAAGTGCCTCCTTCAGCCAGCCTCCTGGGTTAGGCCCACAGAGGGAGGGCACTTCGTTAAGCAGCTCTGTGCTGTCATGAAGCAGCACGTCCAAGGCAGGAAGGGAGAATGATGCCAGCTCTTGCATGTTGCAGCTGGGGTTTTCAAACTGCCCCAGGGAATGGATGCCAGGTAAATAAAAGTTAATGGAGATTTGACATCTAGAGTTGCTAAGTCACAAAGAACATGCATAATAAAGCCCAGGTTTTTAACAGGGAGGGTCATGACAGGTTGGAACAGTTTAACTGGGGTTGTGTGGGTTCTGCTTCGATGGATGTTTTAGAATCGGGGTTGGAGGCTTTTTCTCAAGGGTCTCCTTATTTCTGTGGCTGGGGAACACATGGTGGCTTGGGCTGTGCAGGAGAAGAGCTGAGGTACCTTCAACGGTGTGGAGATGCGCTGCAGTATAACCATGTCTATTCTCCAGACAGAGGTTGCTGAGGACCCAGAGAAGGTTTCCACTGTTCACTTACAGCTTGGGCTACCACTTGTCTTCATCCTCAGCCAGAAAGAGACCTACGAGGCTGACAGGAGGACAGCAGAGTTTGTGGCCTGGCAGCTCTTGGGGAAAGCAGGAGTTGCCCTTTTGTCCAGGTATTTGCTCTCAGGTGTTTTGGGGTTTTTGCTTTTTGTGGTGTTTCTGAGCTCGGTTACCCCACCGCCAGGATAATAGTCAGTGAGCTTACTCATAGTTGGATGAGAGGCAGTAAAGCTAAACTATATCCTGCAAGAGGATGTCACGTTTAAGGTCTTGTCCAGAATCAGATTAGTTTGGTTTCAGACTGACTGGAAGCATAGAAGCTTTTGAGTCTCTTGCTGACTTAGAAGTATTAAAACAGTCAGACTAAGAGAGATTTTGGAAAGGAAACTTAGCACAATGGAAAGCTTGTATTTTGCCCTCAAATTAAGGGCAGGAGGAGATGCAGTGAAGGAGGTGGACTGTGAGTGCTGGGATGTGATGGGGGTCCCCGCTCGGTAAGCGATGTCTCCTCAGTAAACGAGGGCTCTCTGAGTTAGACCAGCACACGTGTTCCCCAGGAGGACCGCAGACACGTGGGTGGCTGGCCACAGGGCAGTTGTGCTGTGGAGGTCTGGCTTCCTCCAGAGTTAACCACCAGTTCCTTATCTCTGCTCCGGGGGCTCAGGAGCAGCCTGCCTACACCAGACTGTCTTGCAATTGCAAACGCTTCCGTGGTGTCTTGCCAAAGGAGGTGTGCAGCCCCTGTAGGCATGGTTACACAGCCTTTGGGGGTGTATGGGAGGAGATGGAGGAAGGTTGGGTGTGGGCTTTCTTATTCCAGCTTTCTGCTATCGGGGTACCCCCCTGTATGGAGGCACTTCTTGACTGAATTTACTCATGAGTCTCTGGAGCCAAGGAGCCAGCGCCAGGCCCCGAGGGAATGGCCTCAAGCTGCCCAGGGCAGGGTCAGGCTGGCTCTGAGGAAGGATTTCTGTGCAGAAGGGGCTGTTGGGCGTTGGAATGGGCTGCCCAGGGCAGGGGGGAGTCCCCATCCCTGGAGGGGTTGAAGAGTCGGGCTGAGCCGGCGCTGAGGGATCTGGGGGAGTTGGGAACAGTCAGGGTGAGGTTCATGGTTGGGCTGGAGGAACTTAAAGGGCTTTTCCAACCCAGATGATTCTGGGATTCTATGAGCTGAAGTTCACCAGCAGAGCAGCTGCACTGGAATGTGACTGCCAGCGCATGAGCAAAAACCTGAATCACAGAGGGGGAATCCAAGCCCCTTGCAAAATGGGCACATTATGCAGTGCAGTCCCACCAGAAGGTCACTCAGAGCCTATTTCTCCACCACTGACGTTGATTCTGGGTTCCTGCAAGTTCTCGGGGGCCCTGAAGCACAGCCCTGTGAGGATGCGGTGCTGCTGAGGGAGGTGGGCTTGCACGTTGTACTATCTAATGTTCACTTTGTATTTTGGAAGGGACCTCGTAGATTTGAACATTCTGCTCCGGTCAAATGTCGCTCTCAAGACACCAGATGAGGTTAGATGGTGAATTTCTTTATTGTACAACTCTTATCTCCCTATTTGGGCATGGTGCTCTTGAGAGGAATTGGGGTGTTGCTCGGCTCTGTTGTTGTTTGACAGCCTTCCCAGAGGCTCAAGGGGAAGTGTCTTTCCCTAGATGAATGCAGGTATTTGGAACTGTCTGAGTTTGATACTGCAGAGCAACTATGCCTGCTGGTAAAGGTAAAATATTGAGTTTATTTTGGGTTCAAAACATAGGGTGACATCTCCATCTCCATTACACCCTAAGGCTACACAAGGTTGTGAACTGCCTAAGGTAGTAGTCCAAGTGCAAATTCACCAAAGATTTGGACTTCTAAAAGCCCTTGCCTCCATAGGAAAGGCGTTCAAAAGATGGGAGAGGAAATGAGTGTGAAACTAAGACCAAGCTAAGAGCAAACAACCAAAGGTCGGTGCTGAACTGATGTAACTGAATGCCTTTGGCAGTGATCTGGGAAAAGGGCAGGGTGTAAGTTAAATGAGTTTGAAGATGAGCTAAACTCTGGAGGGACCTGACCCAGCTTGTGAGGCAAGATGGAATTTGGTGATGACAAATGCCAGGGAGCACATGTTGCCCCAGTTACCTGAATTGTCACACTTATGATTGCAACCATACAGGATCAGACCTGAACCTGAGCATCCCCTGAGGGCTTCCCATGCCCTGGTGAGAGACGTGCATGTTGTGTTTCTCCTCTTAGAGCCAACGTAAGGTGCCAGCAGTTTGTCATTTCTCTCAGTTTATTAAAAAATTCATTTTCTCTGAAGTGCCTTTTGCTGAGACAGTGCCAGAACTGATTTTAAGCCGACAAGGTCTCATTTCTGAGAAATACGTTTTGCTCTTTTCTTTCCATGGGTTGGCTGCTCTTGTACGCTTGGGAGTGCTCTTCTTGGTTGAGCTCCATGAGATAAAGGCTTTTTTGTGCCAGTTACCCAGGCTGTGATGGGCTGCTCTGACCTATCCTGACTCCTTTAGAGGCAGGAGAGCCAAGTGGACCCTGTAGCTCTCTGCTCTCGTTCACTGTTTGGCCAATGGGTTTTTTCTTGCAGTGGTGATTCTATGTTAAAATGCTGGGAGGTGGAGCAGGTGTTCACTTTCTCCACTCCCAGCACAGGATCCTGCATAGCCACAATTACTTCCTCTCAAGGAAATGTCAGTCTGGAGAGAAAAAAATGCGTGCATGGGTGAAATTGGGCCAGAGAAACACCCCAGATGCTCCCCTGTTCAGCAGCTTTAGAAATCTGTTGACATAACCCGAAAACAAGGAGTTGGGTGATGGTGCCCCATCAGCCTTGAGTTTGTTTTGGGGACAGAATGGGTGCAGGGTGATGTTTTGCTCCCACTGATTTATTCTGTTTTCTTTAGGGAGTGCCAATCAAATACCTGGTCTTGGAAGACACTGATGAAGTTATAACTCTGGTGGAAGATAAGAGCAAGGTCAAACAAATCCAGGAGGAGGAGGAGGAGGAGGAGGAAGATGAGGATGAAAAAGAGAATAACAATCAAGGTGTGCCACTTAACTGAAAAGCTGATTGTCAGCAGATA